CCTGTCTGTCCAACCGTCCACCTGCCTGTATATCTGCCCACCTGTCTGTCCAACCGTCCACCTGCCTGTATATAAGAACATAAGAACATAAGAACTATACAAACGAGAGGAGGCCATTCGGCCCATCGAGCTCGCTTGGGGAGAACTTAACTAATAGCTCAGAGTTGTTAAAATCTTATCTAGCTCTGATTTAAAGGAACCCAAGGATTCAGCTTGCACTACGTTATCAGGAAGACTATTCCATACTCTGACTACACGCTGTGTAAAGAAGTGCTTCCTTAAATCCAGTTTGAAATGTTCTCCCGCTAATTTCCCCCTATGGCCACGAGTTCTTGTATTTGAACTAATGCTGAAGTTACTATTCGGTTGAACAGCATCCAAACCTGTTACAATCTTATAGACCTGGATCATGGATCATGGAGCTGTATGACTGAGCCGGTGCTGTGTGGAAGATCACGCCTGCGAGGCATCTGGGTCGTCCATCTGAGGCTCTGTCTCCACTTGGGATTCTGCAGATAGTGTAAATGTAGACAGCAGTAGGACGTTAGAAGACGGTGCAGCAGGAACACATGTGGGAGGTAGTGAGCTCTCTCATACTCGAAAGGTCAGTTACCGTGGTGATCCTGATTATTCAAAGGGATCATCATCTCTACCCACGTCATACTCCAGGGGTCCTCTTTTGGTTGGGGTGAGTTCTGTCCGGGATATTGGCTTTCAGAGTCCGCGATGGAACAGCGGCTGCTTGGAGGGAACTCTAAATGTGAGCTGCGGTGACACAGCAATTCACTGTCAGAAGGACTGCAGCAGATACGTGCTGATAGAGGAATGCTTTACTATCTGCGAATTCCTTACCATCGGTAGGCCAGGATTCCCAAAGTAGGGATAAGCATCAGGAATATCACAATACAGATCATCACCACAAACAGCTCAGGACCTGCTGGAGATCCAGACAGAGCTAATTCTGAGACATAGAAGGTTGCAGAGATCCGTGACACATTCAAATCACAAGGAAATGTTGAGATAAGAAATTAGAAATAATGATCCCAGTGTTTTTGGAGCAACAGTAGTCTTTTATTGAATAATAAAATGATTAGTCTGGATAAATGGTTTGTAAATGAGCATGTTACTTCTAGCTTGAAATGAAATGAAATGAAATGAAATTAGATTATACAAAATGAAATGAAAATGAAATGATGTTTGGAGGTACATGTTTGTAATTAGCAAGTAATTCCTATACCTTCAGATAATGACTTTCCCATTTGTTCAGGGCTCTGTGATTTGTTCTCTATAGTGCTGGTGGCGATTCCTATGAATAAAAGGTGAGATCTGAATGATCAAACTTGTTACAGTTTCTTAATGGCAGCCAGGACACGTGACGATCAGTTTCAGGAACTGCATAAACGATACTCCAGCATTTCTGAGTGGATCTGCTAGGAGTATTGCTGATTTATACTGAGAAATTACACTGGGTACCTGAAACGTTCCCATTCACATGCTTCAAAAGGGTTCAGCAGTCCATGAAAATGGACTCCTAAATTAGTGCAGCAATTCCTAGGATCATGAGAAGGGCCAGCTACTTAGTATAAATGTCATTCGATGCCTTAAATGTCTTCAAATACAGTGGTACCTCAGTTCTCGAACTCACTAGAACT